ACCATCAGACCCATTACATCTTCTTGTCCTTTTCTCCATGCTGTACACTTCCAAGCAACAATGCAGCACACATTAAGCTAAAACCAGTTTTCATCAGCCTCATTTGTCTTTTCAAAGGTTTTTATGTACCTTATGACATCTCACAAGAGATCACAAGCAGCAGACATATTTTATAATGTTTGTAGTGTAATGTGATGTTTAACCTTAGAGATTCACCTAGGCACGTTTAAGTACTCCTTGATAAAAATTTAAAGCTCTTAGGAGGACAGGCTGAGAGAGTTGGGGTTGTTCAGCCTGGAGAAGAGAAGGCTGTGGGGAGACCTGATTATGGCCTTTCAGTACCTAAAGGGGGCCTATAGGAAAGATGGGGAAAATCTTTTCAGTAGGGCCAGCTGTGTCAGGACAAGGGGTAATGGCTTTAAACTAAAACAGGGTAGGTTTAGACTGGATATAAGGAAGAAATTCTTTACAATGAGGGTGGTAAAACACTGGAACAGGTTGCCCAGAGAGGTGGTGGAGGCCCCATCCCTGGAGACGTTCAAGGCCAGGTTGGACGGGGCTCTGAGCAACCTGATCTAGTTAGCGGTGTCCCTGCTCACTGCAGGGGGTTGGGCTAAACGACCTCCAGGGGTCCCTTCCAACCCAAAACATTACATGATTCTATTATATGTATGTTATCTTCATCCTTGACCAAAAAAAAAAAAAAAAAAAGCACTTGAAAGCTTTAAATGCTTGAAATCACGGATATAACTTCTCTAATTTCTAACCTTATCAGCCAGATTGCTAAATATGAGATTTCAATATAACAAATATAAAACCTATGAAAAAAAGCAGTTGTTTTGAGCATATGGCTCATTTAAAAATAGGTGCTAAGAAGTTATGCCCCCCAAGCAGCCTGAAGGGTTAAAGGCATTAGAAATTACCTTGTTACATGTCAGCTTGGGCCATGGGCCTGTCTCACAAACTTTTGTCTCAAAAATAATACACAGCACTGTCCACACAGCCAGGCTGGTTGTTTACTATTTTAACTGCAATGGCCTTAAGCTGAACAAATAAAGGGACAGGTTTATTCACCCGGCCTCTCTCCTAGCCAAACAAGACTTTGTAGTGAACTGAAAGTCCTATTTCTTTCCTGAGACCCTTAGACCAAGGAATGAAGTAAAAATAAGTAATGCGGAGAGTGACTGTTGTACCTGCATCACACTTTACTGCTGGCTTTCAAGAACTGCTCTTACTTGAAAACAGAGCACAGCTCTCCTGTCGTGGACAATGTAAGCCCTTCCTAGATCTAAAATTCACATTTGCATACAGATAATGGGAGACAAATGAAGAATAAAAGACCATGGGCAGAGCATCAAGTCAAGAACAGCTAGATCAAGCCAATCCAGGAGACGACAGAAGGTGTTGACGGTATACATGAAGTAAATACTGGGACTCTGTGGAGTGGAGCAAGCACTATTTACTATTTGCTTGTTAAAAATCAACAAGCCATTGAGGGTCAAGGATGGCTTATTTATTCTTATCCTTTCCCAGAAGGCCTCTAAACAGTATTGTACTCCAAATATTAAATGGCAGTGCAGATGTGTTCATATATACACTGATAAATATTTACAAAGCAATTATTATTAATTTCCATGGGATTTTAAAGGTGCCGAATGGTTGCACTCATTGACTGTGAGTTTCATAAATAAACCTGATGTGACATGCTCTATACAGGGAATGAGTAAGTGTTTATTAAAATTCACAGTCTAAAATGCATGACTACCTTATTGACCAGATACAAAAATCAAACCATAGGTTTTCTAAACTTAAAAAAAAAAAAATCTCTTGTATTTTCCACTAGCAGCAAAGTCAGCTATAAGTGATTTTTTTTCATTATACCACCAAACTGTAAACTGCAGTAGAAGACGCAGTAGAAGTAAAGTATATTGAAGTCAAATGAATTTTGTCATTGAAGTAAATAATATTCAGATTTCACCCATGAAAACAAGGTGTTTGCACAAGTAGGAAATCACCACCAGTTGCGATGATGCTCCATTGCACGAGTCCCATTAGACAGCAGGCAGCTGCATGCAGCACACCAGGCAAAGGGCTCTTTTCATACCCACTTTCACCGCTGCTGATTTCAGAGCAGTTATCACGATTTGTGTGACAGAAGGGTCAAATCTTTCCTCTAGTTTTCAAGTGTAAAGAAATGTATTACCTTCGAGCATTTTCTGCAGACTGTTTCTCATGACATGGATGTTCTCGATGCCTATGAACTGAAACTTGATGTTGGAGTAGTTGTCTTCGTTTTCATATCCCTTCCCCGCTGCCCTGTTTGCCATTGCGTTGAGCTGAAAAAATTAAGGAAAATCAGATGAAAACCGGTAGCAAACAGATTCTTTTCAACACAAAGCTCGTAGTCTACTGCATTAAATCAGAGGGATTTAAATCAGGCACAAATAGGAAGCATTTATCACAGTGTCAACACAACAGGTTAGGAATGGGAGGTCTGTTCACAGCCTATTGCAAGGTGCTTGGTGGCTGAGGCTCGGACCTCTATTTCACACAGAGTAAAACTTCATTAGTGAGGTTAGACACAAAAACCCACAGCTTATGTAAGGCTCCTCTGCAAGAGCATAAAGGTTTTAATTTGTTTTTTAAAAGCTATTCTGATTTTAGTTTTGATCAGCATTATGTTCACTAGCAGAATATACCCAGTGTCTTATCTGCCATGCCACTGTTACATAGCATATATACACAGCAATGTTGCCCAAATTACTGTGCTTTACTGCTCAAATCATCCACAAGTTGATACAGCTTGCTTCTTTGAAGCTTGTATTAACGAAGAAAGACTTGGAGTAGTTTTTGCTAAATGTATAATGTCCTGGTTCTAGATGCGTAAGACCACAAAAGATTTGAATTGACAAAATTACCACAAATATTTTCACCTGCAGTGCATCACTATCAAATATTTTGCTGTGCTTCAGCAAAAAATACATTCAACTGGAAGCTGGACTGTTGTCTTTGAATCTGTTACTTGCTTCCTAGCATGGGAAAGTCGCTAAGTTCTTCTTTAGTTCAGTTTTCCTAAGCATAAAATTAAGGGGGTTTTTAATACTTATTTTCCCTCCTTTTGAAATTCTTAGGGGGAAAACTATCTGTCAAGACCCGTTTGCCAAATATTGATCTCTGGGCTGAAAACTAGAGCCGATAGAAATTAATTAAGTACTTTTACTTTATTAACCTATTTTTTATTATTATTTTGTTATTATTTCCTGTAGCATAATTTCACTGCCCAATAGAAATTGCCTTCTGGCATGAAGTCCCTGCTCTTCTATGAAATGCACACTGTAAGGCTGGGGAGCCTTTGAACTTCCCAATAAATATGCAGGCTCCAGGAATAGCAAAGCCACCCATGTGGCAGAACCTCCACACCTCTAAGCTCAACCAACAGCTTCTGCTCGGGAAAGGCTGAAGAATCGAATAACAATGGATATTGCACATCCAGACAGCAGGACACTAAGAAAGCTTTTGGAGAGACCTTATGATGTACCCGTTGGACAAAAAATGACTCGTCTTCATTGCAGTGAGAGCCAATGCTTATGAAAAATCAAAACAAAGTAACCCTTGGGCATTGCCTTGGGGACAAGAGGCTATGCAGGTAACTCCATTTCCAGTTTATTTCCCAATATTGCAGGCAGTACTATAGATCTGCTGCTTCTGTTGTCACTTCTGAAACTCACAGTCAGGTACTTCAGTACTCAGCTAGTGGTATCATGGGAAACACAAGAATGTGTCTCTTCCACCCCAAACACACATAGTCCTGATACTCAATTTAATTTGGAGTCAGATGCTTGCAGTTAAGGAAGATTGGCTACCTGCTGCCAACTTATCTCTGACTAGGATGAACAAGTCTAGCTTTTTCACATCATATGTCAAAATACGTTGCCATGGGCCAACTTTGACCTCTTAACTTTCAAAGGAAACAGCTGAAGACTAAATGCTTTTTATGCCATTATAATTTCATTTTAGATATATAAGCAACCAAACAGGTAACACTACTTTTCAATTCTTTTATTCTGCCTAATTTAAATCAATGAAATAGGGGATTTTTTTCCCCATCTTCACACGTTCTAGCACATCCATTCCCACGAGCAGAACTTGGCAATAGGAATATAGTTACATTTGCAGACCACCATTAGGAATTAGAACATTGCATGAATTTCATGATACAATGGAAGGAACCATACTTTAAGATAGGAACATAGGCAAAACCCCAGCATTTTTCATTTACTCAAGTCTCGTGTAAAACTTCTTTTAACTTGTAGTATGCAATTCAGGAAAAATTACAGGCAAAAAACCCCGTCTTGTCTATCAGCCAGCAGTCTGCTGATGTTTTGACTATCAATGAACAATAAAAAAAACAAGATACAGCCTGTGAACAGCATGTCGTTTGAGGACAGAGTCCTCAGTGTGACTTGCTAGAAAGATACAAATTATCTGCTGAATCCTAAGCTTTCTCTTTTGAAGTAGACATCAGTGTTCTAATACAAATAAAATGAAGCAGTGTCTCTCTGCAATGGCATATAGCTTCAGCAAGAAAGATCTGTATGCATGAGTCTAAGCCACCAGAAATCCCCAAGACCCTAAATGAAAAACATTTAGCCCCTAACTAACCTAATCCTCAGTACAATAAATGCTATTAACTGTCTCTGCCGCAGAGCAATTTTATCACAGAAATCCTTCATTAAGACAGTTTGAAATAGCCCTCTTTAAAAGCAAATAAATATAAGGTTAAATTTGCAAGGCTTTCTGACACTCATTTATTTTAAATATTGTCAGTTGCCAAACTTTGCAGCTGCCACAATATTTACTAACAAGCTTTCCACATCACCTACCAAAATTCCATCTGTTGCTCTTGAAGTAGTTGCTGCAAAGCCTGTCCTCACTTAATCTCAATGAATATGAGGACACAACCTCTAAAGGGAACAGACCTCACTTGCCAGATTTCCTGGCATCTTTGAAGTGGAGAATAACCAAGTCCTGTCTTGTTATAGTTATAGAATTAATTTGGTTTACTCATAAGCAGTAAGTTTATACTAGCTTATTCTGTAAGCACATGGAGGAAGGAGAAAACGAAGAAAGACACTAGCCTAAGTAAAGCTCTGCATATGCTCATCCTGGATTATTTAAATGAAGTGGAAACACAGCTTTCTTCCTCAGCCAAAGCTTTTGTTTTGAAGATTATAAAGCACAATGAGGGACAGCATATGAAGAGCTCTTGGGAATGCTGGATTTGCTGGCTCATCAACATTCATCACCTTTGCAAGGAACCCATTCCGATGACAGAAGCAGCAGGTGGGGTTTTAGCTTCCTAGAGCAATGGGAAACCTTGCACCAGACTTGATAACTTACCTTTATGTTTGCTAAAGGTTCCCTGAGGAATGCCAGGAACAGCTTGCACTGACACCTATCACTTCCTACATGTTAGATTTATAGATGCACTAGGAGCTGCAAAATTAACTGTAACAGCTGTAACAAGACTGTTTGGCACTTGGGATCACAGGGGCTTTAGAAAATCAGTCCATTCTTGCAGCACAGAGAGGGATAAGCAAGGATCTGCGCAGACAAATTTCCTTACATTGAAACTTTTTTTTTCCCCCAGAGAAGTTCAGTGAAAACGTAAAACTTTAATCTGCTGACTGGCTTCTGAAGAAGCCAGCGTTGCAGGAAATATGCCCCCATTCATGACCAAGTGAGCCAATTTCATGCTCTCCACAGGCTTTTTGCACTGCACTTGGGAGGTGTCTCACCAAAGTCATTTACCAATAGAATTTACAGGATGGGACCTTGTGAAACATCATTAATAGCTAAGTCAGTAAGTGTTCAGTAATAAGTCCCATCAATGAGTGACCTCCTTAATTAGGGAAGAGTACCAATATCATCAGCCAGGAAATGCTAAGCTATAAATATTATCACATACAGAAAACTGTTAAACAAGCATTATTTAGGCAGCCAGGTCTGTGCATCCTATCCAAAGCCTTCTCTGAATGCAGTCATACCAATCCTTTCCTACTGCTCATCACGATTGATTTTCTTCAGGACCACAAGTAAGGTGGTGTCATCCTCATCTTCCCAATAAAAAAAGAGAGAATTGAAGGTGAAAGTAGTCACTAAATTACAAAGTATAACAACACATCCCAAGGCCATGATTTTCTGGCTACATCCTCCCCTTGCAGCTGCAAGCGCTCAGCACTTTCCCACCAGCCCCCAGGTCTTCAGCCAATTGTCAGCCAGAGAGGTTTCTTGTTTCTGCTCCAGGTGTGCCAGGTTTGCCCTTCCTCGCTCCCCTCCTCGTGTTTCTCTGCTCTAGTCACTTTGCCCTTTCAGGCTCTGTCTCCTGATCTCAGGGTGCTGAAACAACTTCTTTGTTCCTTTTCCTCAAGTTTTTGCTCTCATTTCTCCTTTTCCCTTGCTATAGGTTGTGCTATATCTACTAGGGATTTTGTGGAGATTTGCCCCTTTTTTGGTTTCTTTTCCTTTGCATGCTTTGGTAACTTCAGCAGGGAAGCTGCTGATAGTGTAAGAAAGAACATATCCCTGCTCCCACCTCCAGGCACTGAAGCCTATCTAGTCCTCATCACCTCGAGCTGTTTGCTAGCCTGCCAAATTTGAACACAAGTTTTGATAGCTTTCATCCTCTTCTAGATCATTACTGTTTTTGTGTTTCTGCACAGCATAGTTTTTCTAAAGCTTTTATCTTGGCCAGAGATTTTAGTCAATTATAGAGGTATGGTGTCTGCAATCACCATTTACCATATTTCAGATTCTCTCTCAAAGATGCAGAAGTGTTGGAGATACTCAGATAAGGCCTCCTCAATTCTTGAAACCAGAGTAAATTGTCTTTCCTTAGCCTCATGCACAGGTTGTTGAAATTTTCCCACTTGCAAGAGATTTGCATGGAAAATTTTTCAGTATAAGTAGGCAGAAGTTTGCAACATTACAAACAACTGTAAATACAGTTTTATAATGGGAATTATTTTTCACTAGCCTCATGAGTAATATAGTTACTGATAGCTCCTCTGTGTGTGTAAAGAGTTACTATTCCAACTTACTTATTTTTCCACATCTTAATATTTTGTTAAGAATAAAACAGAAAAGCTTGGTGTAAAGAAGAAAATTCTCTGAGAGATAAAAATGCAGGCAAGGTTCCTAGTAGAGATTCCCCTGCTAACTCCTGATTTGCCTGTGGAATTACACAGGTACAATAAAGATTGGAAGTATGGTCAATCATTTGGGCTGTGCATCCTCCTTAATGTATTCAGCCCAGATTCGCTCTTGCTATGTGCAAGAAACTTAATGTACTTACTTTGGGCCGAGTGTCAACAACGTATATGAAATCACTTTCTGGATTTGCTTTTCTAATGGCCTGGAGCATCTGTTCATCCTCAAGGCATCGAGCGCTAAATCCAGATAAAGGCTGGCTGCTTCTACATATGGAGGCCTGCAGAAAAACAAAGAGATGAAAAAAAAATCAATGTAGCAATTAAGCAGAAATTATTTAGTATCCAGAAGCATTTACACAACCAGTTCATTAGGTGTTTGCATAGGTGTACAGTTACATGGGAAGGGCAGAATGATAAGATGAATTACATGTTAATAAACAAATTCGTTTTAAAAGGGCGAGGAAATATTAAAACAATACAACCCAAGTCTAGTCTTGAATCCAAGTCGTAGAGCTATGTTAAATATAGCATTTCCCTAAAGTTGAATAGCTCCTTAAAGGTGGTCTCCAGACGCAGTGATTACAACATTGCAATGACAAGAACGCTGATAGAATGTAAAGAATGGGTCCTTCTGCCCTGTCACTCACACTTACCAGTTATGATACTGATGACACCCAACTTGCACCAATACATCCTTTACTAAACAGCCTGAGACACCATGAGTCCAGGAAACAAAAAAGCATAACATGTGGCTAGATCGCTGATGGTGATATATTTTTAGCACTGCTCCTGGAGAAAGACCTTACTGCACGGGAAGCAGGTCAGGCAGCCTGACTCCTGGAGTATATTTATTAATCAGTGCTGCTGAAGAAGGCAAGAGTTTCTCCACACACCCATCAGGATCAACTATCCAGGTGAAACAGGGGAAGAGGGAACAAAACATGAAAGGTTTTTATTTCTGTTGGGCAGAGGGCAGGTAGGTTTGTAGAGGGCAAGGGGCTAATACATGCACTTTCTGAGTACTGAACATAAGCATGAAGAGAACCTGCCTGATGAAGGTCATGACCTGTGCAGACTGCCCTGCAGATTATTTATTACTCTGAGAAGGGACATGCTCATTTTCAGCCAAGTCTTTGAACTATCAGTAGTTAGTAAAATGTGGATCTTTAATCCAGAAATCTTGAATTGGGACAGCCTGTTGGGAAGTCCTGGCCATCTTCCAGCACTAGGAAAGACCTCTCGATGTAGTTGCCAGTCTGGGACTGAAACAGAAGGAGATATTAGACACACAGATACTATGTGAGTACTAAGGGGACACCATCCTCCTAACTGGGAATGACAGCTGAGCTAAGCCAGTCCCTAGGGGACTGGGACACAAATGTAAAAGCACTCAGTCCACGGGATCCTTCAGTCCAAGGGTCTCTTATACCTCAGCCACCAGGAACAGAAATGCAAATAGTTTTGGTACAGGCTTTTTTCCAAATGGTTACAGACAAGTGAGCCTGTTCCTCACTCATCCCTGAGAACATCTGTCAAGGAGAGGAGAAGGTAGCATTCCTTGTTATTAGGGACAAGGAGACTCTCTTCAACAAAGCCGCAACATGCTGCTCAGCCAAAATTTGGTAGCTCTTTCATCCATCTCTTTTGGGCCTATTCACGGATCTTTTCTTCAGAGGCTACTCCTGACTCTGTAATAGTTGCAAGTGTAGTTTGTCCTCCTCCTCGATTTGCTCTCAGGCTGTTGCTACCAGATGTTGAATTGCTCTATTCTCCTCCCAATCACCTGCTACCAGCCTTCACTCTTCTGCCACCCATGTTTCAGGACCTCTTGTACTACTCCACTTCCTTGTGATACAGGGATCGCATTTTCTTGTGTTAGCTGGATGATGAAGTTGGGTTTAAATGCCTGCATTAAATGCCTATTAATGAACTAACCATAATTCCAGCGTGTGCCATACGTACAAACCACATCAACGAGACTATACTAACCATCTTTGATTTTTTTTAAAAAAAAATCTCTAATTTCTTCTTGTAAAAGCTTTTGTTGTGGTTTAACCTGGCAGGCAGCTAAAACACCACACAGCCATTTGCTCACTCCCCTCCGTGCCCA